TTGTTTGTTTGTTTGTTTGTTTGTTTGTTTGTTTGTTTGTTTGTTTGTTTGTTTCTGTTGATCCAGAGGAGCTCGTCGTGAACCAGAACCAGAACCAAGCCCGACACAGATGGGGGACCAGGAGCCTGAACAGTTTGGGTCCCTGCAGGAAGAACTGGAGTTCTGGAAGGAGCAGGCGGTCCAGAACCAGCAGATGTGGGTCCATGTTTACTTGTGTTCTGTCTGTTAGCAAAATATGTCCTGAACCAGAGGACAGATCTCATTAAAACTCAGACAGAGACGAGTTGATTAATGAGGTCAAACTGGAGTTCTGCTGAAGCAGAACCAACCAGGTTCTGTTCAGACCAACCTGGTTCTGTTCAGACCAACCAGGTTCTGTTCAGACCAACCTGGTTCTGTTCAGACCATCATGGTTCTGTTCAGACCAACCTGGTTCTGTTCAGACCATCATGGTTCTGTTCAGACCAACCTGGTTCTGTTCAGACCATCATGGTTCTGTTCAGACCATCCTGGTTCTGTTCAGACCATCATGGTTCTGTTCAGACCGACCTGGACCCAGAGTTCTGGTGGCTCACAGCAGTGAAACTCTCTCACTGTCAGTTCTGTGTGAAAAAGAGTTTCAGCTAAAATTCAGCTGAAAGCTAAAAACAACAACAAATGTCTTAAACCTAAAAGTAGCTAAAATATAGAAACATTATCAAAACATGAGCTACAAGTAGCATAATGCTAGCTTAGCTATATTTAGCTAAGCTAACATTTTAGCTTTTTACAAACAGCATAATTAGCATTAGACACAGCAGTACTTTCAGTAGCAGCCTTAGCAATAGCTGAATTGACTTTAGCATCAGTGGCTGAATTAGCTTTAGCAGCGGTAGCTGCATTAGCAGTGGCTGAATTAGCATTAGCAGCAGTAGCTGCATTAGCAGTGGCTGAATTAGCTTTAGCAGCAGTAGCTGCATTAGCATTAGCTGCAGTGGCTGAATTAGCTTTAGCAGCCTCTTCCTGATGGTTCAGGTTTGGTTTTAAAAAGTAAAGCTACATTCTGCGCCAACAACAGAAAACTTGTTCAAACGTACCACAGCTGAATAACGTCAGCAAAGCTCTGCACCTTCGGCTCATGTTCTGCTCCTCTTGGGGTTTGCAGAGCGGCCGAAGCTCAGGAGGAGCTGCAGGAGTTCCAGCAGATGAGTCGGGACTACGAGGTGGAGCTGGAGGCGGAGCTGAAACAGTGCGAGGCCAGAAACCGTGAGCTGCTGTCTGCTAACAGCCGTCTGCGTACGGAGCTGGAGCTCTGCAGGGTGACGACTGACTGCACAGCAGCCGAAAGCTGCTTTAGCTTTAGCTTTAGCTGCTTATCAATCCTGTTTCCTCAGGCTAAACAGCTGCTAATGTCAAGTTTTTATCAGCTGATTTCTTGTCCTGAGCTTTTGTTGTTGGCTTTGTTTGTTTGTTTGCTTGTTTGTTTGTTTACTTGTTTGTTTTTACTGTTTGTTTGTTTGTTTGTTTGTTTACTTGCTTGCTGCAGGAGAAGTATGAGACGCAGCACTCTGAGGCCTGCAGGCAGATCTCCAGTCTGGAGGGGGACCTGGCTGAGACCACGGTGATCAGAGACCAGCTGCAGAAATACATCAGAGAACTGGAGCAGGCCAACGATGACCTGGAGAGAACCAAGAGGTCAGAAAACCACCTTCATTTKACCCCACAGCAGGTGAAGGGTGTCTGTTAGCAAAATATCTCTTCAGCCARTGGACAGACTTTAATGAAGAAAGTCATGACTGGTGAAGATCAGGGACTGAAAGTTCTGTCAGTGTGCCGCCTTCACTGGAAACTTTAATCTGTAGGATTTATAGGGCTGGAATCAGGGACAGTTCTGTAAATCAATTCAGTTTCAGTTCTTATGGCTGAATCGATTCATAAGGTTCTGAATCAATTCATAAGGTTCTGAATCAATTCATAAGGTTCTGAATCAATTCATAAGGTTCTGAATCGATTTATAAGGTCCTGAATCGATTTATAAGGTTCTGAATTGATTTATAAGGTCCTGAATCGATTCATAAGGTATTAAATCGATTCATAAGGTTCTGAATCGATTCACAAGGTTCTGAATCGATTCACAAGGTTCTGAAT